GGTTGCAGTGAGCCAAGATTATGCCACTGCACTCCAGCTTGGGCCAGAGTGAGACTCCATCTTAAAAAACAAAACAAACAAACAAAAAAAACAAATACTGTCCATCCTGGGATGTAAAATGACAAATAGCTTATTTTAATTGTTTTTTATTGTGAAATACTTGAGATGGACTGATAACAGAGAAGAGTAAAATACACATCTATTTTGAGTGGAGAATAAACATCTGTACTCTCATGTTTATTAAATCTTAACCCTGTGTCATGTTTGTTCCAGGTTTTTAAATTAAGATATGAATTATAATAGCTGTGGTTGAGGCCTTTAAACCACTCTTGTGAATTTGATGTTCATCGTTCCCATATCTAGCAAACTTCCCACGTTTCCCGCCTTTCTGTTTGATGACCTTTTCAAGTAAGATACCACCTTTGCCCCCAAGAGGACTTGCAGGTTCAGGAGGCTCAAAGCTGTAAGCCTGTTTGCCTTGAAGGGGAAATGTGTGGGATTTCAAGCCCTGGCCCAGACTGAGGAGCGGGTCTGGAGAGGTGGGGCTCTTCTTCATTCTTGACTCATCTCCTACAGATCAGGACAGGTTCTGGGGAGGTCCATTTCTGGAAATTTTCTAGGCGGTGTCTCAGAGAAGGCAAATGGCAGGCAGGAGGTGGCGGTGCCTGCCACAGAAGAAGCCGGTGTTGAGAGCAGAATCCCAGCAGGGATGGGGAGGAGCTTCGGAACAGGGAAGGGAGGGCTCCCAGAGGGCCTTTAGGGCCAGGGAAGAAGCGTGTCTCTGATGGAGGGAATTCAGGCAGCAGCCCTGGACAGGCTGCCCTGGGGCTACTGCTGAGCTGGGGTTGGAGATGGAGCCCCACAAGCCCAATGGGTAGAGCTTGCTGTACTCAGTGTGATCATTCACACCTCACTCCTCCCCATTTACACAGTCACATGCAGGACCACAGTCCCTCCTCCTGCTGAGGGCTGTGCCTGTCTCCAGTTTTGCTGGGTCTCTGGAATGGGGCTCTGTGGACTCCGCCGTCTTGCTGGCTTTCCTGTGCACAGCTCACCCACTTGGCCTGCTGCTCCTCTGTTCCACACTCGGAAATCCACTGCTTCATTTCCATCTCTACCACCACTGCTGATGAACCCCTATGTGGGACCTCCTTCCCCACTTCCCCCAGGCCAGTTCAGCCTCCCATAATAGAAATCTTCGGCCCATGCATATGGAGGAAGTGTCTCTGACTTCTCTAGCCTGACAGCCGCCGTCTGCCCTAAGCAGGCCATGTTCTACTGAGCCTGTTGCCTCTCTTGGGCACCTCACTCTTCTCTGGGCACCCTGGGTTGCCTGCTTTCCCTCCCTTACGGCCCCTGCCGAGAGCACACTCTTCATCTCAGCCACACCGTCCCCACCGCCCTCTCATTGCTATTATTTGTCATGTCATCTGACCTCTCCTGTGTGGGGACACTCTGTGTTCAGGGCCCCACACAGAAGGCTCTCAGGAAGTGGCTTTTGGTTGGCAAATGTACAGTTAAGGATGGCCTTGGGCAAGGCAGAGCAGTCTCGTTGGAGCTTGGAAAGCTCACCAAGGAGGGTAGTGTTGTATATGGATGTGCACAAAGCCTCAGGGTCTGTTCTGCACGTGCCCATCAGGAGGCCCCATCCTGCCAGGGCCCGTGCTGACCCCAGAGGAGGTGTGTCCCCCGTGCGTCACCGTGCTGTGGAATATCACACCAGCACTATACAACTGGGGTTGAAATGTTCAGGATGCCTGGAAGGGGAGAAGTCTTTTTGTGAGAGATCACCTAGGATGGGATGAGGAGTGCAAGCATGGCCTCGTGTTTCCTCCAGCCAGTGGACACTGTGTGCCTTGGATGTCCCCCACCTGTCAGCCAGGCTCCAACCAGGGAAGCAGAAACTACTTCGATATATAAAGCAGAGGGATTATAGTTACAATACTTTAAACATTATACATATGTATGTATATACATATACATATATGTTTATGTGTATCTGTATACATTATTCTAAAAATGTGGGCCAGACATGGTGGCTCATGCCTGTAATCCCAGCACCGTGGGGGCCAAGGTGGGTGGATCACCTGAGATCAGGAGTTTGAAACCAGCCTGGCCAACATGGTGAAACCCCGTCTCTATTAAAAATACAACAATTAGCTGGGCATGGTTGCACATGCCTGTAATCCCAGCTACTCAGGAGGCTGAGGCAGGAGAATCGCTTGAACCTGGGAGGTGGAGGTTGCAGTGAACTGAGATTGCACCACTGCACTCCAGCCTGGGCAGCAGAATGAGCCTCCATCTCAGTAAGTAAATAAATAAATGTACATATATACTTATAGTTATGTATGCATGTATTTTACGTATGTATGAATACATATATATTAGTTTTTGTTTTGGAACTATTTTAGACTTATAGCCAAGGTGCAGGATGGAACAGGGTGTTCCCAAACACTTGTCCCTCACCTTGCCATAATATGAACCTTACATAACTATAGAACCATTATCAGAAGCAAGAAATTAACATTGGTACAATGCTCTTAACTAGAAGCTTTATTCAGATTTCACCAGTTGTTCCATGAATGTCCTTTTTCTGTTCCAGAATCCAAATTTGCATGTAATTGCCACATCACCTCATTCCTTTCCAATCTGATACTTTGTCTTCTTTTCTTTTCTTTTCTTTTACAACCTTGACACTTTTGAAGAGTTCTGGTCAATGCTTCTGTAGAAAGCTCATCAATTTGGGTGGTGTGATGTTTTCTCATGATTATGTCGAGAGGGTGCATTTTTGTCAAGAATACCCCAGAAGTGATGTGCCCGTCTCGGCGCACCACACTGGGGAGTCCATGATGCAGATACGTTTTGTTACTGGTGATATTAACCTTGATCACTTGGCATCTGATGGTTTCTCATTTTTCTCTCCCCACCGCCAGCCATGATTAATAAATATCTTAGGGGAAATACTTTGGGACTGCAATGATCCAAGCAGAGGGAATTTAATCCAAAGAATTGATTACTTCTACCTGAGAAGCTACACAGCCCAGGGAATGGCAACCTCAGGTAGCTAGTACCAACTCTCGACCTGAGGCTCGAAGAAAGGGAATGGGCGAGGAGTGCCTCTGACACCGTTGCCACTTCTCTAGGGCTTCACTGCCCCTTATGGTAGCCACAGGCCACCTGTGGCTCTTGGAGCCCTTGAAATGTTGTTCATCCAAACTGAAGTGTGCTTTAAGTAGATTTCTGAAACACTATGGAAAGAAGAATGTAAAATATCTCATCAACAACTTTTTATATTGATTACCTGTTGAAGTGATATTATTTTGATATATTAGATTAAATAAAATATATTATTTCATTTAATTTTACCTGTTTCTTTTTAAAATCTGGCTACTAGAAAACTTAAACTTCTGCCTGCGGTTTCTACGTGTGACTCTCATTTGGTTTAAGTTGGATGGTGCTGCTCTAGGGCACACTTCCACCCAGCCTGTGTCAACAACATTGTAATAATAACGTTCATCCTGGACAAAGGTCATACCCTTGAGCCATGCTCAGGAGGGCACGTCCAGCCAAGGTTTTAGAAAGCCAGGAGTGCATTGGCACACATTCACAGCTTTGACCATGTCATCAAACATGCAGAGACTGGGCTTCCCTCTGCTCTTTCCTTCTTTTTCTTCTTTTTCTCTCTTTTTCTTTTTTCTTTTCTTTCTTTCTTTCTTTTTTTTTTTTTTGAGGCTCGCTCTGTTACCTAAGAGCATTGTGCATTGGCACAATCACAGCTCACTATGACCTTAAACTCCTGGGCTTAAGCAATCCTCCAGCCTCAGCCTCCCAAGTAGCTAGGACAACAAGTGCATGCCACCGTAGCTGGCTAGTTTTTGTTTTTATTTTAGTAGAGACAAGGTGTCTCTATGTTGCCCAGGCTGGTCTCAAACTCCTGGGCTCAAGTGATCTCCTGCCTTGACCTCCCAAAGTGCTGAATTACAAGTGTGAGCTGCCTGGCCCTCCTCTGCTCTTTATGTATCATGCAGGGTGTAGGTTAAGATCAGTATTCAACAACTTCAGCTCCAGAGGCTAGCTAGCGTTTAATACAATAGTAAAAACACTGCCGTATACCTGGATAGCATTTGGCAGGAAGGGCTATATGGCTGCTACTGCATTGTATCTATACAGTGTTTTTATAGCTCACAAAGGTCCTTCGTCCCAGCCTCCCAGCCAGTCACCCAGCATGGCTCTCCCCAGTTTATAGATGACAAAGTGAAGCATGAGAGATCACATGGATTTCTGTGGCTCCCAAACTCCCAATGCATCCGTTGGGGAGCTCGTCAAAACACTGATCCTCTGGCCCTGGCCTCACAGAGTCTAATTCAGCAGTGGGTAAAGGCTGGGGCCCAGGGACCTCCATGTTGTGGACTCTGGGGACTCTCATGCAGATGGTTGTCAGACCGCACTTTAGGACACAGCAGCCCTCTGAGTTCTTAGGGGATGTGAGTGGCAGGGCTTGTCTGAGCCATGCTTCTGATGGCCAGGTTGGGCTCTTTCCTGGTGCCAAACCCATCATCTTTTGGAGCTAGGCTTCTAGGAGGACCCACACATACCTGCCTCATTGCCAGCTCCGGCCACACCCTTGATGTAATAGAGGGCTAGTGTGGCTGAAGCCAGGTCAGGCGGTCAAATGTGGTGCTGGTGGTACCAAACTCACAATAAGTTTCGTCATGTCTGGCTGACTTTGGGATGTAGCCAGTCTTTGTCACTGTGCTGGGCTCAGGTGAGGGGAGGTGAGTTTGCCTCCCCCTCAAGCAGATGCCAAAGCTTCATCTTGATGTGGAGCTTGAGGATGCCAAATTGGGTCTGGTGGTTGAGAAAGATTTGGGTTGAAATGACCAAATAGGATTCCACACTCATGCTAATGGGGAAGGCCGGGGCACAATTCCTGCAGCCTGGCAGAGTGAGCATGGGCCTGGCTGTCCTGCCATCACTGATCGCTCCTTTCTGCTCTGCAGTGGACAGCGGACTGCAGCGAACCGCTGGACAGCAGCTGTTCCTTCTCCCGAGGGCGAGCCCCCCCACAGCAGGTAGGGAACCAGCTCTTCGCTCTGTCTGGGGGTATCCTATGTCTTGTCTGCCTGGGTTCCTGGGCCAGCCCACAGTGGCTCCTGAGGGGTGGTGACATGGAGAGTGCAGAGAGGTGGGAGAGGGGAGGGTGCATCTCTCCCCTGGAAAGCCCTCCCTAACCCCCTGCCCACAGGCACTCCCCAAAACTCATTGATTGATGAGATTTCTTTTTTAGTGACTGCATTCTATATACTAACACACATCTGGAAGCAGCCCAGATGTTTGCTGAGGAGAATGAAGAGGTGCCTTGGGATCCATCCTTACAGTGGAATATTACACGGCAGTCAAATGACTGCACTGAGGGTTCAGGCACCGACATTGTGGCCCCACAAACAATGGGACTCAGCATTTTGATGCTGGCAGGTGCTTTGGATGTCACTTCTGCTCCAGATCTGCAGAAGGCCTGGGAGGGGCAGCGTGTGGGGGAGCTGTCAGAGACTTGTCCATCCCTCCAGCCAACCAACAGTCCTGGGACCCCACTGGAGCCTGCCACCTTTTTCCCTGCTGCTTGCCGTGAGGTCCTGAGAGGCTCGTGGGTGGGTTGCGTGGCTGGGAGGGAAGGGGGGCAGCTGCTGTTTGAGAGCTGCCCTGGTGACACCCAGGCCCTTCCCCACACCCTCTGGTGGTCCAGCTGTTCTCACTGATACCTCATCCCTGCCTGCAGGAGCCTGTGGGATTAGAGGCTGAAAAAACCATGTGTCCCCATCCCGAGTTCAGCCTCAGACTGTGCCTGTCCAGAAAGCGGACAGAGCCCCTGCTGGCTCCTGTGAGGGGCCATGCCCGGTTTCAGAGCCGCTGCAGTCATGGGTTGCCCCGGGCCTACTTGCTCATGTTCAGTTTCGATCCGCTTAATCATGTTCAGCTTCGGTCCCCTGGCAGATTCACCCAACTCCTCTATTCTGTGCCAAGGGAAGCTGGTCAGTGGCCTTGGTTCTAGATATTTCTTAGGCTGCAGGGCGTGGCTGCCCCATGGTGTAGGGGGATGGCTGCCCAGGATGGTTCTTTCACATGACAAGATTTGCTTGTGTGTTCAATTGTTTCTTAAGAAGGAGGCCATAATAAGAGCCCCAGGGGTTGGGGGTAATGGGAGACCTGGAGTCTTGTTTTTGTTCTGCCGCAAACTTGGTGATAAACTCTTTCCCCTTGGGTCTCAGCTTCCTCACATAAAACCCAGAAGGAGTCTCGATGGCCTCTGAGGGTCCTTCTAACATCTCCGTGCCATTTGCAGATGAGGAAACTGAGTCCCCCGGAGGTGCCACTTGTCTGCCCTCCACCCCGTATGGCACTGCTACCTTGCCCAGCTGCAGAAGGTGACCTTCTAGGGGGTGCCTTTGTCTCTGCTGCCTCCCTGCCTGGGACCCCGTGTTATACTCCCTGACCCCCTAGCTTTTGGTCTAGGCCCTGCTCCTCAGGGGCACTGTCTTGCTCCTGCCAATTATTCTAGGGTCTCCTAAATGGAGTTCCCCTCACTCTTCAGCAGCAGTTGTGAACTTGGATCTGGGGACTCAAGCACCAGGCAGAGACTTTCAGGGAGGGCTTGAAGCTCTTAGATAGGGAATAAGAGGTTTGTCCCTGAGAGCTCTCTGTTATTTGGTCAGCAGGGGTCTGGTTCTGGAATCTTCCAAGGAAGGGTCCTTTTTCCTCTCCCCTTTACCATCTTTTTGGGGGCCTGTCTGCTGCCTTTCCCTTCTGATCCCCTTCTCCACATCACTCCTGACAGAGTCTCCAGGGCGCGAGGAAGGGTTCTCCACGTTTTCTCCCCTCATCTGCCTCACCTCCCCACCCACCCCTGTCCTCTCGGGTCTGCCTTCCCCACCTGCAGGAGGTTGTGTGGGGGTTCGCCAGATAATATGGGCCCATGGAACAGGGCTGGGGACTTGTGGGGTGGGGTTAGGTATGGGCTTGTCCCTGCCCCAGGCACCCTGACACCACAAGGCTTACCCCAATCCCACCTTCAGGAAGCAGCTGAGCAGTTGACTCGGGGTAGGCAGTGTTTGACAAAATGAAATATAACTCAACTTAAAAATGAAGTTGTGAAAAGCTCATATTAAATCCTTTCTTGGCAGGTGAAACTGAGACATAGGTTCATTATAGGGGAGGTGCCCAAGGAGGGTGGACAGCAGGGTCTCTGCATAGAACCCCACCTAATCACCTGACATGCCCAGAGGCAAGGTTTTGTGGGAGGGACCTCCTACAGCCACAGGAGCACTGGCATTCCCATCACCCCTGACCTGCGGTGGCCGCCTGATCATCTCGGAGGGAAGACGGAGAGATGTCTACTTCCAAGAAGTGGAAGAGGGGCTGGGCCACTGAGGGACACCCCCTGCCACAGCCATGTGTGCCTGGTGCTGTGTTGGTCTTGGGTGCAGAGTCTGCAATGGCCATGCCTGGAGAGCCAGCTGGGACAGAAGGGAAGGCTCAGTCAGAATGCTGGGTTTGCCTGAGTCTGGCATGGGATGCACCACCTGTGCTGTGTGAAGTTGCTTACAGCCAAGGAAACCTCTGAAGATTGGAGAGGGTCTTTCAGGAGGGATTTCTTAGAGATTTGTCAACCAGGAGTGTTTACAGGGGCCTGGTGCTAAGCTCCAGGTGGGCTTGAAGCCAGGGACCTGCCTTCAAGGGCAGCACTGCTAAGTGAAAAGGACAAGACACAGGTGTAAAACAGATGCCCCCTGCAGGACACGAGATGGGGCCCAGGGGGTGGCCTGGAGTTCAGAAACCTGGGCAGGTGCACAGAGGAGGTGAGGGGTAGCTGCATCTCCTGGATGGATGGCCAAGGTTCAGACCTGAGTACTGCACGGGGAGGCAGGAGCATCTGTGGGCCTGAATTTACATGAGGTCTCCCATGGTCAGCAGCACCTTGGTTCAGTGATGACAGGCTTTATTTTTAGACATCAGAGAATGAATTTATTAGGTACAAACAACAGCATGGCATAAACAAGAGGAACCTTTATTTTTCTCTTGCCACCAGCCTGGATGGGCATTCAGGGCTGGTATGGTAGCCCAACAGTGTGGGGGCCAGCTCCTTGCTTCTCACTGCTCTGCCCTCTCTAGAGTGTTGCCCTTGGCCACGTGGCCTATGGTGGCTCATGCCCACGTCCATGCGTCCGCCCGTGGGGACACCCACCTGAGTTTCCTTCCCAGGAACCTCTGATTTCTGCCCATGAAGCAGCCATCTCCTGATGCCCCCTACTGGAGGGATCAAACCTGGGCAGCGTCCTTTGAGTGACCGCACCCCAAGGAAAGCCGCACGTAGCTGGCCTGTGGCAGTGTCCTTGTCACCCCTGTCGTGCAGGGGCTCTCTGATGGAGAAGGACCCAGGCAGCTGCCCACTGAAGGGTGCCTTTGCTACTGTGATGGGATGCTGCTATTCCCCTCATCCTTCAAGGCTCCCTTTAGCCTGGCCCACCAGAGGCAAGAACACAGGACCAGCTCTCAGGGACACCACCCATGAGCACCTCGGCTGGCTCCTCGCTACACCCACGTGCCCAGGCAGACACCCTCACACTGACTCATGCTGCTGCCAAGCTGTTCCACGCACACCTGCCTGTGCTTCAGCCAGCTAGTCAACCCTAAGACGGGAGTCGGGGCTGGCTCTACTTCCTCAGCCACTTCTGGCCTAGGGCCTTGTACTCAGTGGACACTCAATAGTGATGCCTGAGACTGCACTGAGTTGGCCCAGGCTCAGTCCATGCAGTCATTCCCTAGTGGGCCCTTTTCCTCCGTCACACCAACTTTGATGAGCTTTCTGGGGCCATCACGATGATGGGAGAGCACGGCTAACCCATTTTTACCCATGGAGACAGTTAGTTTCAGGGAGAAACTGAGGCTACGTGGAGATGGGGTGGCTGGCTGCTCTGGTGCTCCTCTTGACTGACCACGTTGGCTGCGCATGTCAAAAGTAAGATTGGCAGGAAGATGCAGAGCCCCTGCATTCTGCCAAACAGCCTCTGGGTGGTGGGCCACAGACCATGCCCTGCAACCAGGGCCCAGATGCGGCCCCATTTGCAGATTAGTCATACACTGGGATGATTGATTCATCCTTAGCAGGCTTCCAGCCTCATCCTGTTTGTTTTTTTAGCTAATGTCAATGAGAAAACCTTGCTTTTTCTGAACCCTTTCAGAGGCAGAAAGTGTGGGCAACCCAGAGGAGACCGGGTCCCACAAGGGAGGGGGAAGAGAGCCCAGAGAGTGTAGAGCAAAAAAAGGGCTACAGATAGTTCAGAAGAGGCCGACCAGCTGCCGGCAACTGGGATTCAGCTGTATTTGGGATTGCCTGACATCCTGGCATCCTCTTCCCAAAAGACCCGTCCGTCACCTAGTCATTTAGTTAGGATGTCAGAAATTTCCAGCTTTTCATTGTAATAGGGGAAATGTGTAGGGATTGCTGAAATGAGAGACTGCAGCAGCAGTACATTCAGAAGGCTTTTCAAGGTGCTGGCATGAGATTTAGAATTCAGGAAAGAAACCAAAGGCATAGGAAAGGTTGTATGGGGTAAGGAGTGAGCAGCTGTTTTCCATCTGCACGGGTGTGCCAAGGACAGGAAATTAATATGCGCCACAACAGCAGAGCCTCTGATTAGACCTTGGGAAGGACTTCCTTTGACGGAAGGACTTGGCCCACCGTGTTGGCTGTTGAGCAAGGTGATGAAATCTTTGCTAGGAACCTGATGAGCACGACTCCTTATCAGGCAGGTTCACATGAAGCCCTGGGAAAGATGGGGGTGTGACACAAATGATGACTTTGAGTCTTGGCTGAGGGCCTATGATCCCAACATTCCCTGGAATAAGTGAAGGGTACTCTCTTGTTTCAGCCTGATGCCCTGTAGCAAACTGAAGCATAAAGAGAGTCAAAGAGCCTTGTCCCAAGGGCCAGGAGAACTAGGTGTTGACCCACGAGTGACACTGGCTCCAAGCACCTCTTCTGCAAAACAATGACACAGACTTCTTAGAGTCTCTC